AGAAACTTTTTTTTTTGAGTCGGAGTCTCAGTGTTGCCCAGGCTGTAGTTGCACACTCACAGCCACCACAGCCTCGACCTGCTGGGCTCAGGAGCTCCTTCCAGCTCAGCCTTCCAAGTAGCTGGAACTATTAGGCGTGCATTACCATGCCAGCTAATTTTTTTGATTTATTGTAGAAACGAGATCTTGTCAGGTTGCCCAGGCTGGTCTCGAACCTGCGGGCTCAGGTAATCCACTCGCCTTGGCCTCCTAAAGTGCTGGGATTACAGGCTGAGCCTCTCGCCTCAGCCTCTCAAAATGCTGGGATTACAGGCTGAACTTCTTGCCTCGGCCTCCCAAAATGCTGGGATTGCCTAACCTTGTCTCTACAATAAATCAAAAATTAGCCAGGCAGTTCCAGCTACTTGGAAGGCTGAGGCGGAAGGATCGCCAGAGCTCAGCAGGTTGATGCTGGGTGGTTGTCAGTGTGCCACTGCACTCCAGCCTGGGTGACAGAATAAGACTCCAACTCAAAAAAAAAAAGTTACATATTTATTACAAGTTATAAATTTTGTTACTAAACAGGAACATGCCCTGGAGCTTGTGAATGAAAGGCTATTGGGGGGCAAGTCAAGTAACAGAGAACTTTGTATATTAGGGGTATTAGAGTGGATGATTTTAGTTGGAATCAAAGATTAAGATTAGCAATTTGTTGGTCTGTCAGTAGTTTATCAGTCTACTATTAGTGGAAGTAGAAGATTCATAAAATACTTAATTTCAGGGAGAGTGACACTGACTTTTCAAATAGAACCACAACTTCCATTTAAAGTGGCAACATCTCTCTTCTCAATTGCCCCCAGATAGTAAGAATAAGAAATACTCCAACCGTCTTTGAAGAGAGGAGTCAGCATTTGTAACCCTCAGTGTATAAAGATGGAAAGTAGATAGAGGGATGATACCTAGTTCAGCAGAGTAGAGGAAGGTCAATGGGAAGCTAATCATTTCAGAATCTTCCCCCAACTCCACTCTAGATAGTCTTAGGGTTAGGAGATGTGTTTTCTGGAGGCAGCAACAGTGAGGAATGACCGAACTCAGGGACTTTGCTTGGGTGTCTGTAAGCAAAAGAACCTCTAGCCTCTGCCTCCATCTGGCTCAGTTAAGAAGCAGGAACCCTTCCGACAGGAAGTGGGATGCTTTAAAAACGTGGCAACTTCGAGAGATCGATGTCTTGGTTTTTTATTGCTTAGTTTTTCTCTTGCTTTCCCCGTGTCCCCTCTGCTCTTCCCCCGTATTGCTACTAATAATACCACCTTTTAGAGATTTGCCTTATACGTTTTTTTTTTTTGAAGTGGAGTCTCACTCAGTCGCCCAGACTGGAGTGCAGTGGCCGCTCCCGGCCACCGCAGCCTCGACCTGCTGGGCTCCGGCGATCCTTCCGCCTCAGCCTTCTGAGTAGCCGGAATTACAGGCATGCGCTACCACGCCCGGCTGATTTTTTTTTTTATTTATTATAGAGATGAGGTCTCGCTGCCCAGGCGGGTCTCGAACCTGCGGACTCAGGCAATCCACTCACCTCAGCCTCCCAAAGGCAGGGGATTACAGGCTGAGCCACCGAGCCCGGCTGCCTTATGCGTTTTTACAGTACTTCATTCCTGCTTGGAATTCTCCAAATGATGATAATGAAGAACTATTCTGCCCTAAGCAGTGTTAGTTTATTTACATGTATCATCAACCTTTAAGGAAGCAGGGGTGCGTGGCATTCCCTTTTCACAGACTAGGAAAAGGGGGCTCAGAGAAAGAATAAGTGATGTTTCTAAGATGGTATTCCTTGTAAGTGCACAAGCTAGTCATGTCTGACTGATTCCAGGCTCTGATTTTTTCATATCACTGTGCCTGTCTTCCCATGAAATGGTTCCTAAAACACATGAGCATTTATTCATACTGTAAGATATGCTAAGAGTCTTTTTACAGATATATTTGCCTCTCTTCCCTCCTTTAAAAGAAGTCCTTATATAAATATTCATTCAAAAGTATATGTGTTAAACTTTTGCTTTGTGCCAAGTGTATTAGTAGTATGTTAGTTAATAAGTGCTTAGATTTTCAGACTCTTCAGATGTTCTGGGCAGATGCCTAAAATAACATTAAGGAGAAGAAGCCATTATTAGGAGAGTTCAGCATCCACCTAAGTTGGAAAACAATCATAAAGTGACACCTTACTGATTGCTAGAAATTAAAAACAAAAGTTATTTATTGATATATATAATATCCTAGTGAGTTACTGATTTATCTTAATGTATATTTATGGCATTTATAACTTCTCTAGTCTCTAGAAAGACATAAAAGAACAAGTTTAGAGTGTGTGTATGTTTTAGAGACAAGATCTTGCTATGTTGCCCAGGCTGATCTCAAACTCCTGGGCTCAGGCAGTCCTTCTGCCTTGGCCTCCCAGAGTGCTGGGATTACAGGTGTGAGCCATCACACCCAGCCCTTACAGTGTGCTAAATTTCTTTTACGTTTCCAGACTCTGGGGGAGGGAGAGAGGAGGACGGGGGAGTAAAAGATGTTTTAAGACTAGTTGTTATCTTGTAGCACTTTACAAGATATGCTTTGACTTCCTTTCTAAGACCCTCAACTGAATTCAAGGAAGCCTAGATTTTAAGTGCCTTGGTCTCAGTCCCAATTTTAAAATCTTATGTGTTTGAGAAATAACTTTTTTTCCTTGAGAGTTTTCTTTTCCCCCTTCTCTTAGTCATACTCAACTGGGTGCTAGTATATAATTTAACATATTGATGGAGACTTCTGGACGTTATTTTTATGTGTGAACAATTGTGACTGTGTAACTATTCAGATGCTTTAGCTCCTAGAGTAATATTTGTCTTTAAAAGTACATGCCCATGTTATATGATAAATACCTTTAGTTTAATAGTTGTCTAGGGTAGTTTGTAGACAACTATATATATGCAACTGTGCTTTGCTTTATACAAGTAAATAATTCCTAAAGATACATCCCCCCCACACACTAAATTGCTTTAAAGTTCCAAATGTAAGAATTCAAATGTACAGAAAATTAATGAGGGCTACAAAAAATAAATCTCAAGTTAGGGAAATTTTCTAAATGATAAGAAATCTTAGAGGCATTAGGGAAAAGAGTCATAAAATGTTTCTGTTTTATCAAAGATACCATTAACAGTGAAAAGATACATGACAGACTGGGAAAAGTACTTGTAATGGAACAGAAGTGATTTATATAGAAGCTTCTATAAATTAATCCAAAATAAATTAGGCAACCCAGAAGAAATAATGGGTCAAGAAAATAAAGCTCATAAAACAAATACAGATGCCTAATAATCATACAATCTTTGTAATCAAAGAAATTAAAATTTAAACAAGATATAATTGTTCACCAATTCGGTTGTCAAAGAGTACTGTTACCAGTCAGGAAACCACCACACTAGGTAATTCAAACTGGAGGGATTTCTTACAGGAAATTGGTTGTCCTAATGTTAGAAGACTGAAAGAGCACCAAGGAAAGACTGAAGTAACCCAGAGATTAGAAAGTGCGTGAAGCAACTACCACTCCTAGGGCTGCAGACACAAAAGGGTAGAGGTAGTATTGCTGCTAGCTAGGACTATGGAGGAGAAGCCACCATGGAGCTAGTGATTAGTATCCAAAGGGACTCTGCAAGGCTGGTTAGGGAGCAGCAGAAGGCTCTGGAGCAGTGATTCTTGTGCTGCTGCTGGAGGGAGGTCAACAAGAGTAGGAATCAGCAAGTCTTCTCTCTCCTCTTCCCAACTTCCACCTTCCAGTCTCTCATTAGGATGTCCCATTGGCAGGACATGACCCCAATAGGGGTCTCGGAAATATTATTTGTAGACTCAGTGACCCAATGCCGGAGGACCTTTCAAAACTAGAAACTAGAGGTATCCACAGGTGCTAATAACCAGTACTTGTGAGGGTTATTAGATGAAGGAGGCTGTTTGCATATGCTACTGGTAGAATGTAAATGCATTCAACCTTTTGGGAAGATGATTTGCTAATTTTGCTGGTCTTTGACTCAACATGTCTATGTCAAGAAATTAATTACAAAGAGATGCTAGTCCAAATATGGAGAAATAAGTGTATATGATGTTTCATTGTGATATTTTATATGATTTCAAAAACTGAAAATAGCTTAACTGTCCATTATTGGGGGTCTTTTTTTTTTTTGAGTTGGAGTCTCACTCTGTCGCCCAGACTGGAGTGCAGTGGCTGCTCCCGGCCACCGCAGCCTCGACCTGCTGGGCTCCGGTGATCCTTCCACCTCAGCCATCCAAGTAGCTGGAACTACAGGGCGCGCTACCACACCCGGCTAATTTTTTGATTTATTGTAGAGATGAGGTCTCACCAAGTTGCCCAGGTGGATCTCGAACCTGCGGGCTCAGGCAATCCACTCACCTCAGCCTCCCAAGGCGCGGGATTGCAGGCTGAGCCGCTGAGCCACTGAGCCTGGCTATTAGGGGATTAACTAAATATATTGTGGTATATATCTAATTAATGAAAAACATGACCATAAAACATGAAAGTTTTTCCTATGTTATTGTGTGATAAAGCACTATTATATATAGTTTGACATGTTTTGTCAAATTCAAGAGAGTCACAGTGTTGAACCTAGCAAGGTTTTTCAACTCCTGCAAACATACATTTAGAGGTAATAAGTACAATATTTCTTGTGCTGTTAATTTTTTTCTCTCAACAGTTATGAATGCAGGAATGAGGAAATATTTTCTACAAGCCAATGATCAGCAGGACCTAGTAGAATGGGTAAATGTGTTGAACAAAGCTATAAAAATTACAGTAAGTATTTGTATGTCTTTGAAAAATTTTCAGTGTCTGGAAGTAATCTTTATGTTTTGAAAATACACCTACCAAATGTCCCCAACTTAGCAGCAGATTTCATACTCCAACTTTCTTTAAAAGGCAGGTGTTCAGAATGTGAATATATTTTCTTGTACATGGTAACTATTGGCCCTTTAATCAGCCCACGAATGTCTTTTTAACCTGTTATGTACCTAATAAGAATATATATTACTGTAGATCTTAACTGTTGCTTGCAATAATGTTTCTAGGGGACAATGCACTTAGCACATGGAATTCTACCTTGAGGGTATATTTTTTTCTTCCATTGTAGTCTAAGACACTTCCTGCCACCTACCAGGTAATAGAAGTAGGAACTCCTGTTTCTTTTCTTTTTTTTTTTTTTGATTTGGAGTCTCACTCTGTCGCCCAGACTGGAGTGCAGTGGCCGCTTCCGGCCACCACAGCCTCGGCCTGCTGGGCTCCGGCGATTCTTCCTCCTCAGCCTTCCAAGTAACTGGAACTGCAGGCGCGTGCTACTATACCAGGCTAAGTTTTTGATTTACTGTAGGGATGAGGTCTCGAACCCATGGTCTCAGGCAATCCACTCACCTCAGCCTCCCAAGGTGCGGGATTACAGGCTGAGCCACCGAGCCTGGCTAGAACCATAGTTTTTTTGAGTTGGAGTCTCAGACTGGAGTGCAGTGGCACACTGCAGCCACCGCAACCTCTACCTGCTGGGTTTCGGCAATCCTTCTGCCTCAGCCTTTCAAGTAGCCGGAGCTACAGGCGCAACGCAATCCATTCACTTCAGCCTCCCAAAGGCGCAGGATTACAGCACTCCTGTTTCTTAAACCATGACTGAGACTGGTGTCAGATAGGGCAGGGAGTTGGATGAAAGGGGTAGGACAAGAGGAGGTGAAGGCTGAGAAATGCGGTACAGGGATAGGGACTGGGTCTGAAGAGTTGTGGCAACCAGAGAGTCCTGCCCATGTGGACTTGAGGAGTTCTCAGCCTCTAAACTTCTTTCCTCACGTGATTTTTTTTCTTGACTTTCGGGGCTTGGTACCTTTGTCCTCCTTTCCAGTTCTCTGACTTCTTGCTTCCAATGTGGGCTTCTCTTCTTTTAGTTTTTCTAATAAATATTAATATTTATTGATTATTTACATTGTGTCAGGTCTTGGAAGGTTTTACCTAAATTTTCTGGAAAAGTAAGACTTAGAAGGATTCAGTACTTTTATAGGTTTCATAACTGGTAGGTTATAGAGGTAGGGAGTCCAGTCCAGTTTGTTGAACTCTGGAGCCCAGACTCTGAAGTGTAGTGCCTTACTTAATCCTTACTCTTTTGTTCTTAAAGCAGAAAATAAACTTTGTCGAAAGAGTATACTACTAGTGATAATGAGCAAGTAGATAAGTTCTCTTCCATTTGAACTTTGCCTCACCTTCTTCCCCTTACACACTTGTAGAGAAATGCATAGTTAGCTCACCTGGAAAAGGATAGGAAGGAGTTCTTGTGTGAGTTTTGTGACCATTGAAGTGTTTTTATTAAAGTGCAGCTATTTACTGACCCTGAATGACTTAGTTTCAAAGAACATGTGCCCTAAAGTCAGCATGTGCTAGTCACTTGTTAGTTTTCATCTAAAATGAGTGACTCCATATTTATATATTATAAAGAGTTAATATAGCAAAAACTGTTTTCAGACTTAAGTTCAATTTTTTGTCTTGCACTAGAACAGCTTGTTACCACATGACAGAAAACGCCTACGCACTGCATCTAATCTGTACATGAAGCAGAAGTTATTTTAGGTTTGTGCAGTTTTAGGAAAGCAATTTTTTGAACCGATGTAGGCATACGTATTCTTAAAAGGTTTTAATGGATCATTTTAAACTATCTTAGTAAATATTCCCTACTTGGAAAATTTCTTGAGAAAGATAATACCTAGTAACTTTATTAATTTTTTACAATTTGTGATAATAAGTAGCACTTATTAGTGCTTCTTAGTGCTTTAAGAGAAAAATTAGTGAATGATCTCAGGTTTTTTACCATCTTGTAGTTCTTGAATTGCTATGTCTTATTTATTGGTGGTATAAAGCAATCTTATACAGACACTGCTAAACTTTGTAGCATGAAGGAGAAACAGATTAGGGATTACATGATGTTTTGTTTTTTGTTTCGTTTTGGGTTTTTTTGAGTCAGAATCTCACTTTGTCACCCAGGCTGGAGTGCAGTGGCACGCTCACGGCCACCCCAGTGTCAACTTGCTGGACTCAGGCGATCCTTCCACCTCAGCCTTCTAAGTAGCTAGAACTACAGGCATGTGCTACCATGGCCGGCCACTTTTTTCATTTATTTTAGCAACGAGACTTCGCCAAGTTGCCCAGGCTCGTCCTGGACCCCTGGCCTCAGACAGTCCTCTCACCTCAGCTTCCCAAAGTGCTGGGATTACAGGCTTGAGCCACAGCATCTGGCCATTTAAAAAATATATATATATAGTAGAGAGGAGTTCTCACCAAGTTGCCCAGGCTGGTCTTGGAGCCCTGGGCTCAGGCAGTCCTCTTGCCTTGTAGATAATGTTTTAAAGTATGTTGACCTTTAAGTAGCCTTTGTGGTCTTGCAGCTTTCTTTTACTTGTTGAACTTTTTGTAGTTTTTAAAATCTGTTGATAAGTGATTTTCATGTTTTTATAATTCACATCTAGAAAATATAAATACATGTTAGGTATAGAAATTTTTAGGTTGTTAATAAAGTGACTAACTACATTAAAGTGAACATAGAATTGATAGCACTTATTTAAAAATCAACATTAGATAGAACATATTTAACTTATAGAATAGCAATGGAATAATTTCCATACTTTAATAAGATATGTTTTATGTTAGTTTTTTCTTTAAAATATCTTACAAGTTTTAATTTCATGCATTTATTGTATTATTGCATTTATATATGTATTAAAGTTTAGAATCTCTAATTTGTTATACTTTCCTGTGGAAATTGCTAATGATTTACAAAGTAGACTCCTTGAATATTTAGTTTACATTGTAATATATGTTCAGTTTACCTTTCTATGGAATTGCCTCAAATTATAACTGTAATTTGAATAACTATGATATGCAAACTTCAGATTTTTGGAAATCCAAAATTAGGGTTTGAAAGTGTGTGGTTTCAAAATAGAGGTGGTTAGAAGGTAGTAGGTAGGGAAGGGTGATTATTTAACTATTTCCTAGTTACAATATTATGCCATCTTAATGTACTGTCCTCCAACACTATAGTACATGACTTTCCTTAGTTCCCTTAAGACTATGTGGGTGCCATTTTAAATTCTTTTCCCATTACAGGTGCTCTTCAACTTATGATGGGTTATTATCTTTTTTTTTTTTTTTTCTTTTTTGAGTTGGAGTCTCACTCTGTCACCCAGACTGGAGTGCAGTGGCCGCTCCTGTTCACCACAGCCTCGACCTGCTGAGCTCCAGTGATACTTCCGCCTCAGCCTTCCAAGTAGCTGGAATTACAGGCATGCGCTACCACACCTGGCTGATTTTTTTGATTTATTGTAGAGATGAGGTCTCACTGCCCAGGCGGGTCTCGAACCCGC